ATAGAGTGTTGACCTGTGGACTGAAAGGTCCCGGGTGTGATTCCAGTCAAGGGCACATGCCCAGGTTGCGGGCTCAATCCCCAGTAGGGGTCATGCAAGAGGCAGCTGATCAATGATTCTCTCATCATTGATGCTTCTCTCTCTCTCTCCCCCTGTCCTTCCTCTCTGAAATCAATAAAAATATATTTAAAAAATAAAATAAAACCATTAAATGCTCATTAGTAATACTAATTTTAACACAAGGTAATATATCGTTTTACATAGGTAGGTAAAGAACTACAGCTATTTCATAACTAAGGATAGGTGAATATTAAGGAAGTATTTACATTTTGGGGGCCTAAATGGTAGTAAATGGATCATTACCCAAAAGAATACTCAGCGCAAAATAAATGCATATTAAAAGACATATGTAAGTTCCATGCAGCTTCTGGCCCAATTCCACATACAATCTCCAAAAAGAGCTATTATTGGAAATAGTTACCTCTGCAATGAAGATGTATAAAAGGAGAGATTTGGCTTTAGAATGTGATTATTTTTATTAGTCTTTCAAGGCAATGGTATGTAACATATGGTAAATTATTTCAAATAAAAGTATTTTTGTGAGGACTTAGCTTACAATCAACTGGGAAGCTATCACATTCCTAACCTTGTACCAAGAGGTGATCAGGCTAACCAAACAAAGTAAACTTTATGTATTTTTTTTGAAAGTTTTTATTTGAATACAACAAAATTAAAGTCATTTATATACATTAATTGTGCATGCTAAGAATTAAATTACTTGATAATTACACATAAAAAATTGTATACAATAATTATTCCAACATCATTTTTTAGGTGAAAGCAAAATATAATAAAATGATGCAATCCCCACTGTTTTCAAATAAGGCAAAATAATTTTCAAGTTTTTTCTTCGAACTTTGATAGCTTTCTATTTTTAACTTGCAATAACGTTGCAGTTTTCCCAGGTGTTGCATAGTATTTAATGTCATCAGCATTCAACACTGTATCATATTAAGAGAAAACTGCTCTGGATCATATGCTATAATACAGTAATTTGCAATTCCCTTAGTCTTAAATTCTTTAAGTAATGCCAACGTATAAACTCAAAATATTAAAAGCCCTTTCAACAAAACCTAAGGAAAGACTTGCCCAATGACCTGATCAACCTGCAAGTGTGACAGAAGTTCAACTACCCTGTAAAAAAACCTTATTTTGAGATTCACTGATGTATGAGACCCTTAAAAATCCAAATAGCAAGCTTAAAGGGATTTCAATAAAAGTATTTTCTCTTCCATGCTTTTTTTAAAAATACCACTGCATTCTAATGAGTAATATAACAAGTATATGTGGTAAATGTGGTAAGGTCAGAGAAGTGTCTCTTGCCCTTAGAGTTCCTGAAAATACAAGGATGTACTGACATAAAGTAAGCATCATTTTCTTACAAGATTCCAGAGCAGGAGGAATAGGGAAACTGAGACAGGAAAGTTAAAACAAGGCCAAACAGTGTGGGCAATTTGCAGCCAGCTTGTAACAAGCCATTATCTTCCCCAACCAAGGACACTTGAGAGCAAATGGTTAAAAACCTCCCTAAGGAGAGAAATGCAGACTGCTGTCGGCGGGGGGGGGGGGAGGAAAAAGGGAAGTTTTACTCCCTAAGCAGAGATGACAGCAGTCTCAAGGCTTAGCAAGATAAAGTTGCCAGGTGCTTCTCATGAATTCTGGGAAGGCCACAATAAAGTAAAAAAGGACCTTGAGAATTAATATGTACCAAGAAATTCATCAGAGGAATTTTGAGACCTATAGACAGGAGGGTATACTAGGTGTACCAGTTAATAATGCAATTTTTTTTCAATAGATGGAGTTACACATATGTTGATATATATGCAATTTGGTATGTATGCTATTTTGTTGTATTGACAGCAAGCTTCAAAACTTTATATGTCAATTTGCTGAAGGTGTTAATATCATAGCTATTTTTACGCTTAAAAATGTCGAATTTTGTGCCAAAAAAAAGAGCATTAGCGGGAAATTTTAATTCATTACTTTATTTTGAAGAAAAAGTTATTGTATACTTCGGGAAGCTTATGGTAAACATGCTCCATCTCAAGATACTGTGAACGCTGGTTTAAACGCTTTAAAAGTGGTGATTTTGATGTGAAAGACAAAGAACGTCCAGGTCAACCGAAAAAGTTTGAAGACCAAAAATTACAAGCATTATTGGATGAAGATGCATGTCAAACTCAAAAACAACTTGCAGAAAGATTAAATGTTGCTCAGCAAACAATTTCCGATCATTTACAAGCAATGAAAAAGATTTTAAAGGAAGGAAAATGGGTGCCACATCAATTGAACAAAAGACAAATGGAAAACCGAAAAGTCATCAGTTAAAACGTTGCTTCAACGGCATGAAAAAAAGTCTCTTTTGCATCTAATTGTGACTGGCGATGAAAAGTGGATTTATTTTGAGAATCCCAAACGCACAAAATCAATGATCCAGGTCAACCATCAACATCGACTGCAAGGCCAAATCGCTTCGGAAAGAAGACAATGCTCTGCCATTTGGAGGGATCAGGAAGGTGTGGTGTATTATGAGCTTCTAAAACCAGGTGAAACCATTAATACTGATCGCTACCAACAACAAACAATCAATCTGAACCACGCTTTGATCGAGAAACGACCAGAATGGGCCAGAAGACACGGCAAAGCAATTTTGCTTCAAGATAACGCACCACCACACTCTTCAAAACCAGTTAAGGACAGGTTAAAAGATCTTGCCTGGAGAGTATTAACCCACCCCTGTATTCACCAGACCTTGCTTCTTCAGATTACCACTTGTTCTGATCGATGGCACACGCACTTTCTGAGCAGCACTTCAAAACCTACGAAAAGTGGAAAATTGGGTCTCTGAATGGTTTGCCTCAAAACAAGGAAAGTTCTATTGGGACGGTATCCACAAATTACCTGAAAGATGGGGAAAATGTGTAGCTAGCAACGGACATTACTTTGAATAAAGCACTTTTGATGTTTCTCTTGAAATTATCGTGTTTTCCTTGATTACAAAATCCGCATTATTAACGGGTACACCTGGTATAACACCTCTGACCCCCGCCACCTAACTTGCTCTTCACATTAGCTGAGAGCCCAGCCCCTCTGCGCTTCATAAGCCAGATGTATAGATTTGCTTGCTTTGCTTCTTTAATAAAGGTGCATGCTTTAATTACTTTGATACATTGGCTATTCAGAATGCAGTCAAGGTCTCTCGTATAAACTATTTATATGAGAAGACAAGGATCGGAGGTTGGGACCGCCCTCTCCCACTAACTCAGGGGGCTGCCCGGAAACACCTCTCTGGTGTCAGTGAGAGGTGCCTCTAACAATTCCAAAACCAGATAAACTTAGATGAAACAAAACCATAATTCAGTGTTTGGATTAAGATGAGTGTTAATGCAAACTTTTTTTTTTTTTTTTTACGTACACAGGGGTAGTCCTTACTGTATTTGGGGGCAGAAAACTGCTTCTTCTTAACGTTTATTACATAACGGAAGATTCCAAAGACAAGTGCTTTGCAAACACAGTTGACAAGAACCAGATCACGCCTCCCTGCGCCAAGTCCACCTTCAAGGACCAGAACGACCAACTTCACGCACCACTGTCACATGGCAGTTCAGAAAAGTTGGCGTCTTCCGAAAAGGGCCCCGAGAGAAGTCAGTCATGAAACGCTTCGAGAGAAAACTTGCTCAGCAAGAGTTTTGGACCACTCAAGTCCCTTCCCAGATTAATCCCCCACGCCTACAGCCCAACCAACCCGACCTCTGCACACATTTGTTAGATGACAAAACTCTACGGGACACACGACTCAAAAGCAAAACCCAGGGAGCTCAACCCGTACCCCATAAAGGGGGGAAATCCAGAGTCAAGTAACCCCCTGCCACACTGCCCACGGAGCACCCCACGCGGCAGCGAGACCGGCACTCACCCACCGCTCGCGGGAGACGTAGACCTGGGTGTTTAAAGTCTGGAGCGCCGTGGGCCCGCTTACTCTCGTGGGGAAGGCTCTCACACCCCACTCACAGCTCCCATGGGAGGACACTGGGCGCTGCCATTTTGACAAAAAGGCGGGCCTTGCGCGGGAGGCCCCTTAGTCAGTAGCCCTGAGCGGAGCCGGAACGCCAGGGAACCCCTGACCTGTCGACTCCGCGTCCGCCACGCCAACGTCCCGGCCTGCAGCGAGTGGCCCGCACTCCGGCCCCACGGGGAGAGCGCGACGGGAACAAAGGTCCTGGGAATCTCGCACGGCCTCTCAGGCAGGGCCGAGGGCAGCCCCAGCGGGAGGGGCGGGGCATTCCGCAGCCTGGGCAGGCGTCTGCGTTGAGGCGAACGTTCGCAGCACGCGCTCGTTACCTGGCAACCGTCTGACGTTCTGCGAGGTGCACTGGGACATCAAGCGAACATTTATCCCTTCTGGACCC